CTGTTTCTCATGTCGAGATAAATTTATTATTCTATGAAAACATCACGTCACCTATACCATTAACTAATACACATTTATCACATAAATTATCAAGTTAAAACTATCAATCACATATTCACTGTAGAGATAAATGAAGGAAAAAACAAATTCATAAATAATAGTATTGAGTGTATTGGCCCCAATAATAGGAGCATTTGGATAAAAAAAAATATTTCATCAATAACACTACAATTACCCCGAAAGGGACCATATTTTACGGAATTGATTCTTTAAAATCTCATTTTTCATAAAAAGAAAAAAGTAAATATTTTATATTTCAATCCTAAGAGATCGGTCTGACAGTCAAGAATGTTTGCTCCATTTTTTGAGTTCAAATCTTAAGGCCACCTATCACAATAACATTATAGTTTACCTAGTCTTTTGGACTTGTAAAGTATTCAATGAACCTTGCAGATTAGTTGAAGTGCGTGTAAACTGGTCCGATCACTTCGGTCACAAAAAACAAAAAAAGTAAATATTTTCATAGAGTAAGAAACTTGCAACACCGATTTGAAGAGTCAATTAAATTGGTATCCCTTTCTTGTTGTAATGTCTTTGTCTAAACCAACTTATATAGTTAAGAGGTGTGGAGTATAGAAAGGGCTTAGCATGAATATTCGTATAATTTAAAAAGCAATAAAGAGATCCCACAATCCATGATGTTGAATTTTTGCCCAATTACTTATTTTGAAAGTGATCCAAGGCTGCAAAATTTGGTAGCGTTTAATTAATTAGAGCTTCTTTCGGTTCAATTAAAGTCCATCTTTTTCAAGTGCCATAACTCATAAAAGCTGTAATTCTAGTTATGATTATATTCCCTTTCAATTACTAAAGCATTCTATCAATATACAGGAAAGGTTTGGTATGGGGTTTATAAATCGGCAACCACAAATACATTTCATTTGATTTCAATCACTGTAATCAGAGTGTCCAATTGATTTTTTAAGGCATTGATGATCGTCAGCAAGATGTTAATGTTGATGTTGCCAGGACTAACAGCTAAAGATAATAATGTTAGCATTGTAATCGGAATGGGCAATTTCAATTGCTCATAATTAAGGGAAACCGTCATAGTTGTGGACCAGGTCCAGTACCCAAGCTGAAATTGTCTCATTTCTTAAATTCACGCATTAACGTTATTGCCCCAAAGTAATGATGTATCGTAGAGCCGAGTTCCGACCACTCTATACTGATAAGTCACACCCGAGCTTCGCATTCCTAGTAAACTATTTCATGTTCCCAGTCTTATTAGATTCCCTTTAACCATGTTAATTTGGGCGTCAGAGTATTTATGGTTGACACCACACTGATGTCTTCCGAGTCTTGGTGTTCATTTTTTTTGTTCCTGTAAGTTTACAAGATTGCCAATGATCTCGTTCTCACAAAATCATTCTCGTTCGACTCAACCGTAAGTTTTACCATCTGTAATGGACAATTTCAATAGCTCATAATTAAGGGAAACCCTCATAGTTGTGGACCAGAACTCGAGCTGAAATTGTCTAATTTCTTTCATTCATGCATAAACATTATTGCCCCCAAGTAATGAATAGTGATCGATCGATCACCATCCATTGCAATTAGATTGAACAAAGATTCCCAACAAAATATTATCTATACATCTCCCTCGACACTACACATTGACCCCATAATCTAAACATATTGAAACAAGCAAAACTTCAAATCTGCTTGTCGAAAAGGTTGTACTATTTGTTGCCTTCTGAACCAGCAACTTAACTTCAATGGAGAATTGTCCAGTTTCTGCTCAACCACTGGCCTTTAATTTACATAGTTCTCATGATAGTACGTACGTAACCTAAATGCCTACAGACTCTCTTAATTGATTCAATTATTGGCCTCTTCTTCAACCTAATTTTCTTTTATCATCGGACACTTTGTTTAATAGGTTTAAAGAATTCTCCACAGTTGCATTTAAGTTGTAAACATAGGATTGTAGGATCTACTGTTATAAAATGTGATTCATTTGGGTCCTTTTCATTCTTGGAGACATTTCTTTCCTAGTGAAATCAGAGTTGTTGTACCAGAAGTTCAGTAAATTACTCCTAATCAATGGTGTAGGAAGTAATCGCGTGTCAATAAGTTCAACTAACTAAATTAAAAATACATTAAATGGGATAATCATCAAAATTAATTAACAGGGTTTAATTAGCAGGAATTAATGGGTTTGGTTTGATAATTTGGGTGTCTTAAAGAAGTGAAAGAATCTAGCCGATTAATTAGGTGAGACCAAGGGCAACGTTTGGTTCTGCTCTCAAGCAACAACTCTATCTCTATGCTGTGCCATTACTGATCAGAATGTGACTGGTTTACCTGATGCCAAGATTGGAAGCAAACCAATTACTGTCGATAAAGTGACAATATTGAAAATCAGAGTCCCATGTAGAGGGTCGGTTTCTAATTAATTGCAAGACCATATCATATTTTTATATACAATAGCAAGAACATGATTAATAGAATTCGTGATATGGTTGTATAATTTGGATTAATTAAGTTAATTAAACAAGCTTTGGATATAATTTCTGCTTGTTTCGGGAATTATGTATTAGCCTAACTGAAAATACGACTTTAGAGTAATTACGGACATTGCTTAATTTATAAGGTTAAGACTTTTAGAGATTTTATTTCACCTACAAAATATTATTTCTTATCCTCAATTCCTTCTTGACTTTGACTGACCCTATTCTTCCCGCAGGTTAATTAATTTATGTTTTTCAAAAGAACGTATATAGTTTATAAATACACTGCAAGTTTCTTAATTGCATGCAAAAGTAGCAGAGATTACTGAGAATTATCTGATTAATCATGTTTCATAAACGAAGCGATGATACCGTTTTGAAGCATACAAATGAGAGAACTAATTAAAGACTGCATGGAAATGCAAATGCAATAAAAAAACAAACAAAAGTTGGCTGTACCAACGAGATTACAGACACAGATATTAATGCCTGTACGTTTATCCTTTTGAAAAACTATATATACTTGAACAGAACGTGTCCATTTTACAAGTCGTTGGCAAGTATTTTTATTTATTATTGCAAGTATGGGGAGGCAAAAAGTTCCTAATCTCAACAACAATTTATAATCCACACAGCTGCAAAATTATCAACAAATTAATTAATCCCTTTACTTTTATTGCTTTCAAGTTAACTCTTTCTTGAGAGGCAAGAGACACAATTTCGGTTGCTGTCAATATCTACCCGTTAGAAAACTTTTATCAAGTGGTGAAACAAACTGAATTTGATCTTATTTTTTTAAGTTTAAATTTGTGTCAAGTCAAGAATTGGGAGCTTGAAATAATTAAATAGCACAATTGGTTGGCTTGCATTGATTAAGTCAAGCAAGTCTTCACTTGGCTGTTGGCTCGGATAAAGCCTTGAGCTCCTTCCATTCTCAGCTTGCCGAAGCCATAAATAGACACTCATCCACCTTGTTTTTCTTTTAACGTATTACTTAGAATGTCTCTAAATTTAAATCCTAACTAAACAACACTAATTAGCATCATCTTAAAGAGCTCTTGCTCTTTTTTAACCTAATTATATCGATACAAGAACAGTGTTTTCAGTGTCGTTGGAAGCCCTTTTTAGCGGATAATGTTTCTTATAAAACTGCTTTGTTAACTTGTACTTGAAGGTAGCAGTAAATATGCATACTTGAAGCTAGCAGTAAATATGCATTAAATGAAGATGTCACTTGTCAGTTTTTGAATATACCCATTTTTTTAAAATTAAGTCTGAATCCTGGTGATTAAATTTCTTAATCTGGTAACTGATTAAGTTAATTAATCTTCTTGTGATACGTGGTGTGATGGCACGATTGAGTGATGATCGATCAGAGATAGCACTTGGGGCTCGCTGGCATCTTAAATTATACATATATATATACAAAGAGAATGAACCTGCTATCGAATAGTATTTGTTCGGCCAAAAAAACTCAAACATATTTGCTGCAGAATTCAATTGCCTTTCAACTGTTTCTGCTTGTCCACCCAATAAACAGATGGGGTCTTTTATTGAATGATAATAACATGGGTTGTTGGAGGGCCAAAATGTTTTCTCATTACTCATCTCCACCCATTCCTCCGTTCACTATTTTATTATTTTCTGTTTTTCCTTTCTGACAATATGAATATTCCCATTTTAGAAACGAATGTCAAGCTGCCACCGAAGGGATTGGCTTGGAGGTTAAGGAGGTTAGCTTCATTTTTAAGTTCTTGAGTTTAAACATTAAAGTCACCTAGCATAATAATATTATAGTTTACCCAGTCTTTTGAACTTGTAAAGTGTTTAATAGTTTGTAAAGATCAGTTAAGATATACGTATGCCGACCCAGACTCGTCGGTTACAAAAATTTCTCAAGCATAATTGGGATACTTGTGCAACTAATTATGTCTTGTGGTATGATTTGTCAAAATTTTGGAAACAACTACTCTTTTGCCAATATATAGGCTGTTATGTATTTAATTTAAATTTATCAAATTAATGATACAGCTAGCAGTCAATAATTGGTATTTAAATTTTGATTAAGTTGATTGTGCATTTTAATTTAGAAAAGGAAATCGTAACATAATAAACAAGACAGGAGATAGAATTAATTTTGATATGTTAAAGGTGAAGCTAGTAAAGATAATGGTGAATGTGAAGAGTAATTAATTTATGGAAAAAAAACACCCATAGAATAAGGAGGAGGTTAAGTGAGCGATGGAGCTGAGGATTTATTAATATCTAGCCGGCGGGGCCGGCGTCCATAAACTGAAAAGTAGGCTAATTGAATGAAATCTAGGTGTGGGTATCGACTTCCAACCACTTGGACCCTCTTCGCAACTGCCCTAATTTATACGTCAAAAAACAAAAAAAAAACAAAAAACAAAAGTCTTTACTACAGTTAACCTTCCATGGTTTATAAAGTCTGAGTCTGCATCTATTTTTCTCAAACCACATAATATTTTCATTTTAACACCAACACAACACACATCTTATTCGTTCCCATCTCAATTTTCGGTCCTTTTAAATTCCCCCACTTCGCTCTCTTTCTCTTCATTCATAAATTACCTCACTGGCCACATTACACATAAACTTCTCTACAACTCCAGCATGGTCATGGGGGCTTATCGCCATTTTGAACCAATCTCAAAATGTAGCACCGATGGGCGGTCGAATCAAACTGTGGCTGCAGATCTAGATGGCACGCTTCTCGTGTCGCGAAGTGCTTTTCCTTATTTCTTGCTTGTTGCTCTTGAAGCTGGAAGCATTTTACGAGCGTTACTACTTCTAGCGTCGGTTCCATTTGTTTATTTTACCTACTTATTCGTATCTGAATCTGTGGCGATCAATACGTTTATTTTCATATCCTTTGCCGGGTTGAAAATTAGAGACATTGAGCTTGTTTCAAGGTCTGTTCTTCCCAAGTTTTATGCTGAAGATGTTCATCCTCAAACTTGGAAAGTGTTCAACTCCTTCGGCAAGCGTTATATAATTACTGCCAATCCGAGGATTATGGTGGAGCCATTTGCGAGGACCTTTCTGGGAGCGGATAAAGTTATAGGGACTGAATTAGAAGTTTCAAAATCTGGTAGGGCAACTGGGTTCGCCAAGAGTCCTGGAGTTCTTGTTGGAGAACACAAAAGAGAAGCAGTCTTAAAGGAATTTGGCACCAGTTTGCCAGATTTAGGCCTGGGAGACAGAGAAACTGACCATGATTTCATGTCATTATGCAAGGTTAATTAAATCTCCAACTCTTTTGCAACTTTTTTTCTTCTTTAAATTTTATCTTTCAGGATGTGATTATTAATATCTTGAACTCTGTGATCTGTTTCTTAGCTCCATTTAGCACCAGTATTACTAATTTGAACTGGCATTTTAACTTTATATTTATTTGCAATAAACATAGCTCTCTCTTTCCTCGAGAAACTTTTGTTATCCATTAATTATAAGATTACTGCAGTCTTTTACACTGTTGTTTTCGCGTTTTTGAATTCTCGTAACGGCTTCTATTTTGTGCCAGCTTTGCTTGACCTTTCCAGTTTCCCTTTATATTTTATACATAAATTGTGGCAAATATCAATTTATGGATCGTAAAAGACATTTATTTCTTCCTGACTGGACCATCAACCACCATGACCCACCATACGTTCTTCATTTCCAACCCACTCTTTCTTATTAACTGAACCTGCATAATTTTGTACTCATGTAACAAATATGAATATTTCACCTCTTCTCATCATTGATCCAATCAATTGAACGCATTCCTTGTGACTTCCCCTATTGAAGCTATTTTCTTTCTTGTAAAATTGAGTTTCTTATTTTGTGGTAATTAATTAACTGCAGGAGGGTTTCATGGTGCCGAGGACAAAATGTGAGCCGCTACCGAGAAACAAGCTGCTCAGTCCTGTGATATTTCACGAGGGTCGATTGGTACAAAGACCTACTCCTCTAATTGCTCTATTGACCTTCCTGTGGATGCCGATTGGCATTATATTATCCATTCTCAGAGTCTATCTCAACATCCCTTTGCCTGAACGTATTGCATATNTGTAAAGATCAGTTAAGATATACGTATGCCGACCCAGACTCGTCGGTTACAAAAATTTCTCAAGCATAATTGGGATACTTGTGCAACTAATTATGTCTTGTGGTATGATTTGTCAAAATTTTGGAAACAACTACTCTTTTGCCAATATATAGGCTGTTATGTATTTAATTTAAATTTATCAAATTAATGATACAGCTAGCAGTCAATAATTGGTATTTAAATTTTGATTAAGTTGATTGTGCATTTTAATTTAGAAAAGGAAATCGTAACATAATAAACAAGACAGGAGATAGAATTAATTTTGATATGTTAAAGGTGAAGCTAGTAAAGATAATGGTGAATGTGAAGAGTAATTAATTTATGGAAAAAAAACACCCATAGAATAAGGAGGAGGTTAAGTGAGCGATGGAGCTGAGGATTTATTAATATCTAGCCGGCGGGGCCGGCGTCCATAAACTGAAAAGTAGGCTAATTGAATGAAATCTAGGTGTGGGTATCGACTTCCAACCACTTGGACCCTCTTCGCAACTGCCCTAATTTATACGTCAAAAAACAAAAAAAAAACAAAAAACAAAAGTCTTTACTACAGTTAACCTTCCATGGTTTATAAAGTCTGAGTCTGCATCTATTTTTCTCAAACCACATAATATTTTCATTTTAACACCAACACAACACACATCTTATTCGTTCCCATCTCAATTTTCGGTCCTTTTAAATTCCCCCACTTCGCTCTCTTTCTCTTCATTCATAAATTACCTCACTGGCCACATTACACATAAACTTCTCTACAACTCCAGCATGGTCATGGGGGCTTATCGCCATTTTGAACCAATCTCAAAATGTAGCACCGATGGGCGGTCGAATCAAACTGTGGCTGCAGATCTAGATGGCACGCTTCTCGTGTCGCGAAGTGCTTTTCCTTATTTCTTGCTTGTTGCTCTTGAAGCTGGAAGCATTTTACGAGCGTTACTACTTCTAGCGTCGGTTCCATTTGTTTATTTTACCTACTTATTCGTATCTGAATCTGTGGCGATCAATACGTTTATTTTCATATCCTTTGCCGGGTTGAAAATTAGAGACATTGAGCTTGTTTCAAGGTCTGTTCTTCCCAAGTTTTATGCTGAAGATGTTCATCCTCAAACTTGGAAAGTGTTCAACTCCTTCGGCAAGCGTTATATAATTACTGCCAATCCGAGGATTATGGTGGAGCCATTTGCGAGGATCTTTCTGGGAGCGGATAAAGTTATAGGGACTGAATTAGAAGTTTCAAAATCCGGTAGAGCAACTGGGTTCGCCAAGAGTCCTGGAGTTCTTGTTGGAGAACACAAAAGAGAAGCAGTCTTAAAGGAATTTGGCACCAGTTTGCCAGATTTAGGCCTGGGAGACAGAGAAACTGACCATGATTTCATGTCATTATGCAAGGTTAATTAAATCTCCAACTCTTTTGCAACTTTTTTTCTTCTTTAAATTTTATCTTTCAGGATGTGATTATTAATATCTTGAACTCTGTGATCTGTTTCTTAGCTCCATTTAGCACCAGTATTACTAATTTGAACTGGCATTTTAACTTTATATTTATTTGCAATAAACATAGCTCTCTCTTTCCTCGAGAAACTTTTGTTATCCATTAATTATAAGATTACTGCAGTCTTTTACACTGTTGTTTTCGCGTTTTTGAATTCTCGTAACGGCTTCTATTTTGTGCCAGCTTTGCTTGACCTTTCCAGTTTCCCTTTATATTTTATACATAAATTGTGGCAAATATCAATTTATGGATCGTAAAAGACATTTATTTCTTCCTGACTGGACCATCAACCACCATGACCCACCATACGTTCTTCATTTCCAACCCACTCTTTCTTATTAACTGAACCTGCATAATTTTGTACTCATGTAACAAATATGAATATTTCACCTCTTCTCATCATTGATCCAATCAATTGAACGCATTCCTTGTGACTTCCCCTATTGAAGCTATTTTCTTTCTTGTAAAATTGAGTTTCTTATTTTGTGGTAATTAATTAACTGCAGGAGGGTTTCATGGTGCCGAGGACAAAATGTGAGCCGCTACCGAGAAACAAGCTGCTCAGTCCTGTGATATTTCACGAGGGTCGATTGGTACAAAGACCTACTCCTCTAATTGCTCTATTGACCTTCCTGTGGATGCCGATTGGCATTATATTATCCATTCTCAGAGTCTATCTCAACATCCCTTTGCCTGAACGTATTGCATATTACAATTACAAACTCTTGGGAATCAAAGTTGTTGTTAAAGGAACTCCTCCACCGGCTCCCAAGAAAGGCCAAAGTGGGGTTCTCTTTATTTGCAACCATCGCACAGTTTTAGACCCCGTGGTCACTGCCGTTGCGTTGGGAAGGAAAATCAGTTGTGTCACGTATAGTATAAGTAAATTCACTGAGATCATTTCACCAATTAAAGCGGTTGCATTGTCAAGAGAAAGAGAGAAAGATGCCGCTCATATCAAGAGTTTGCTCGAAGAAGGCGATTTGGTAATTTGTCCCGAGGGAACTACTTGTAGAGAACCATTTCTGTTGAGGTTTAGTGCTCTTTTCGCTGAGTTGACTGACAGAATTGTGCCGGTTGCAATTAACACAAAACAAAGTGTGTTTCACGGAACAACAGTTCGTGGGCATAAATTGTTGGATCCTTATTTTGTGTTCATGAATCCAATGCCGACTTATGAGATCACCTTCTTGAAGCAGCTGCCTCAGGAGCTTACTTGCAAAGGTGGGAAATCAGCCATTGAAGTTGCTAATTACATTCAAAGGGTTCTTGCAGGGACATTAGGGTTCGAGTGCACCAATTTGACAAGGAAGGACAAGTACGCCATGCTCGCAGGTACAGATGGCCGAGTTCCATCAAAGAAGGAGAAGGAGAAGGAAGCAGGAACCAACTAAAAAAGCAAAATTTATTATTAATTTTCTACTGGTTTTTACATGTTTCAAACTTTATCAAAACAATAAAAATTATTGATTACGATAATGATCATTAAATAATCGTTATGTATATTAATTACTAGTTTGTCGTATACAAATATCGTTTTAGACAGAAGCCATTATCAAAGTACAAATCTTTTGGCTTCTAATTAAGAGTGATTTTTTAAGATGATTAGAGTAACAGAGATTGTGGGTCTGAAGAAGTGACCTGTGGCCTGTGGGAGAATTCGCACATGCTGGTGATACTAATATACCATTAATTTCATTGCTGTATACACCGACAAGTTTAGTATTTCCTATATAAAGCTTACTATATATTGATTTTATTTGATATCCAATTTATTATAACAATTCTAATATCAATTAATTTATTATAAAATTAAGACGAAAGGCATTGAAAGAGACAAGTAATAAATGATATTGATGATCAAACTGTGCAGCCATAATGGTAATTTAGATCTACTATAGCATTTTTTGATGAAAGAAAATACAACTCACCAAATGTCCCAGCCAAAGGGGTCATTAGACTTAGCCTGTTATGAAATTAATCAAATTATCGTGCTATATTTCAGAGTTATCCACTTTTCTACCTATCTCACTAATAGTCTATTGATCTTAACTGATGTTGGTATTATTGTAACTTTACATCATCACTATTCTTTTATCTGGTATCATTAATCAAAATCCTTCAAACATTACTGTTGTTGACCCCGTTAATCATCGATAATCGAGCGATTAAGGTTTTTATAATTGTCAAATTCTGACTAATCACGACCGCTTAAATCTAATCTTTCATTACCAAAAGACTCATTGGCTTTTTCTCTTCAAAAACAATAATAATATAGACCGACTTTGCTCTTCATTCACTACTAAATCAGAAAGTGTATTTTTTTGGATGAAAAAAATAATATTTTAAAAATTTATGTATGATAAAGTACCATTAAACCATTATTTAAGTGAGACCTATAATTAAGTATGCATCTTTCTTGTCTAAAAGGGTCTTAATTAACGATTTGCAATTTAATTAATGTATCATAAATGAGTAGTATTATTGATACCAATTCGCTTATGAACAGGCTTTGGTTAATCCAGCTGGATAGTTGATATCAATTAATTAGGGCATTGAATTTCCCTCAAATCCACGTGCAACACCACTGGTTCACAGGCACCATCCAGTTAATTTCAACGCTTCAATGCAGCCATGCTTGAGTTTGTCTCCAACGCCGAGCTATTTAATATATGCCACCTCACCTACCTTTAATATTATTATCATGCACAGATCCAATTTATGAACTTCCTCCCCCACGGCCCCAATGTCCTTCAAATTATATTTGCAATCAAATTTCCATCATCTTTAAATAGAACTAGATAACAACTTATTCCCGAAAGAGAGGCACAAACCGACAAATTTAAACAGTTTTATTAACTCGTTAAAATACAAGCAAACAATAAATGATTTGGGTTGGCAACAATTTCTCGAAGTACTTTTAACAATTTTTTTAGGATTTTAGAAATGTCAGTAAGATAAGAGTCCTAGTATCTACCCCTATCAATGCTTAAAGGTAGGAGTATAAATAAACTGAATTGAGTCAAGTATCACCCTAAACGAGTCTGACTCGGTTAAGCATTAGATAAGTTCAAGTCGAGTCACGAGTCGATTGAGTCAAGAAAATTCGGCTCGTGACTCGACTCGAGCGTTTAACTCGAGCTCGAATTGGTTCAATTATGGCTCGATTACGGTTCTTGATTTGAGGGAGAATGCATTTACGCGATTTTATTTTGGGTTAATTGAGGTTATTTGGTTAAGTGTTAATTTGTGATTTTTTTAAACCTTTTAGTTTTTTACATGTCAAATTAACAAACCAAAAACTTGTATTATGCGCAAAAAAACCCTAAACGAGCCATGATTGGCTCTCGAGCCGAGTCACGGTAGACTCGAACTCGGCTCAGTACCTTACTCGAGTCGAGTTCGAGTATTCAACAAGCCGAGCCGAACCAATTTGCGATTGACTCGGCTCGACTGACGGCCCTACTTGGAAGGATTCGAACTCAAAAACTCATGAAATCTCCTTTTATTCTTTTACCATTAGATTTATTGATAGTTGTTGGCAACAAATTTACTTACAAAATTTAACAACCCATCATTTAATATGGACTATTTCTATAACATCTTTGAAATATTTATGTTCTATATTTCATTAAAAAAATATATATAAAGGATAAGGATGAGCTGTGTGTTTTAAATTGAGGAAATGTTAGTTATTGCAGTAGGCCTAGCAATAGCATAAGACCTTAAAATTCAACTCATCTGGCAAACCTAACAACTAAGTCGTTCTCTGGGGAAAGCAAGAAAACTAGATTTACTGTAACACTCTTAAGTATAACTACATTAATATACCGTTATCAAACAATTTTTATAGCATAAGATTAAGACTAATACCTCATTTTCTGACTGTTTTAGCAGTAGTCTGTTGCTGCGAAGGACCATCAAACGACAACTGGAAGTCTGAATAGCAATAAAATCAAGGAGGATGTCTTGATTTTATTGCTATTGGACCCAACATACCATAATTATAACAATAAATTGCAGTATTATTCCATCTGAGTTGTCCGTATAACCCGTTTGCATACTGACACATTGCCAGAGACTAACACAGATTATAAATCTGTTATATATGTTGAATTCCTTAGTGTTACTAAGATCTGTCGTCTACGCAGTTTTATTTATTTTCATGTTCATAATATTATATTGCAAAGTCCAACCAAACTAGGGTTTTGTTTGTTTACATTTTTGGGAATACTATTAGAGGGTGTTTGGTTCAAGAATGTTAGATTACTGGGAATGTTGGATTACTGGAAAGATAGATTACCTTGAAAGATTACTGGGAATCTTTAAGAAAATTTGTTTGGTTAGTTGGTGGGTATGTTATATTAATATGGTTGGTTATGGGGAATAAATTGGGGTATGTTATTTAAATTACTAAATTGTCCCCTTTACAAATATTAATATAATATTATTTTTATTATAATTTTTGAATAATTTCTTTAACCCCCAATATTTAGATTTAGTTAAAACACCCCTGCTTATATAAAACTTTAATTATTACGAAATCACCCCTGGTGGTGGTCCGTGGTGGTTGGCCCGCTGTCGGCGGTGGTGGCTGGGTGGCTGTGGTGGTGGTGGCTTGGTGGCAGTGGTGGTCTGTAAATATTTTAAATATAAGGCATTATTGTCCAAAATTTTAATTAATAAGGGTAAAATTGAAAGGATATTAATGTAAATTTGTTTTAAAGTAAGGGTATTATTGTCTAAAACTTATTAAGAAAGGGCAAACGGATAAAAATTGTAACAAAAAAAGATAACCCTGGTAATCTCAGAAAACCTAAGAAAATGGAGGTAATCAGATTACCTCTTATATTACCAATAGTAACCACTATTGGTATTTGAAGATTACTGGTATCTTAAATTACTTGACAACCAAACATGGTAATCAAGTAATATAAGCTGACATTACCCCAGTAATCCCACTTAACCCCGAACCAAACGCCCCCTTATTGGTAGTCTCAATAAAGTTAAACAGTAGAATTGACTTATTCTCAAAATATTATTCTATATTATTTAATTTCTTTTAAACCCCCCTAAATTTGTTAATATAACTAAATATCTCTAATTTTTTTAAAATTACAAAAACACCCCAGCAACCTACATTTACCAGATTCCGGCCACCACTGCCTGAATCTAGTATAATGGCGCACTACCAGCTAAATATAGCCAGTAATACATCGATCTAGCCTTTTCTGGTGGATCTGGCCAGAAAAGGCCAAATCTACGGCTAGATCTTTGGCCGTATTTGGTGGTCAACGACGGTCGTACCTTTGGCCATCATTGACGACCAAATGCGGCCAGATCTGGCCTTTTCCGGCTAGTCCATCGTGATCTGGTCGAAAAAGGCCATATTGAGGCACGAACGGCAAGATCCAACCGGTCATGCATCGATACGGCGACTCCAGACACCCTCTGGCGATGGTGGCCGACTGTCCGTATTTAATGGTGCGTTGGGGGTATTTTTGTTAACTTTTAATATTTTATTATAGCGGTGTTTAGTAAATAAACAAATATAGGTATTTTTGTTAATTTTTAAATCTTACATTATAATACCCGTCTAATTTAATTTTTTTCAAAATATTATTCTAAAAAATATCAGAATAATCAACCAAACGGACCCTATATTGAATATGTGATTGGAAATAAATGGTGTGCAATTAGCCTGTAGGCTTTGGAAAAGTCAACAGAAACTGGGTCCAGTTCTCAAAAACGGTGAAGGCCCAACTTGATCAATTGAGCCCTTTAGAGTTGGGCCTAGTTTTTCTTTATAAAAAATTCTAAATAATTGTGCAGATTCTGATTTTCGTTTCGTTGCAGGCGCTCAACTTTAAATCTATCGTTTTTAACAACTAATCACAACTTCCAATTAAACATCGATTAATTTAATTTAATCTTAAATAATTAAATAAGGGTATTAAAGTCAATTAATCCTACACTACCGTTCCTTTTCCCGGTGACTACTCCTTGACTGTCTTAATCCTTGCTTTGCATCCATTCATGAACTCCGCAATCGGCTTTCAATGGCTGTAGTAAATTCCAGTAATACTCCTGAGCCCCACAACAATAACCGTATCAAGCTTAACGTCGGTGGCAAACTCTTCGAGACAACCGTCTCAACGATCCAGTCAGGAGGTCCCGATTCACTTTTGTACGCTCTATCAAACCGCCCGACTCACGACCCGAACCCTATTTTCATTGACCGGGACCCGGATATATTCTCGGTGCTATTATCTCTCCTTCGTTCGAATCGCTTACCCTCAACTGCAAGCCGATTTTCTAAACAAGAACTCGCTGATGAGGCGCTGTACTACGGCATTGAGTCGCAGCTAAAATCGGCGATGTCTCCACCGCCGTTTCAAGGCATCGACGCGTCTGTCGTGTCCACTGTCCGTCCCGCAGCTGACGCCCTACCCTCTGCCTTTACGGCGGCGGCCGATGACGGATCCCTCTGGAT